ACCCACGTCCCGCCCCGGTGGTCACGTGACACCTGGGGTCTCCGCGCGTGGTGGAGGGGGCGGAAGAGCTCGGAGAGCAGAGAGCCTCGGCGTCTTCTCTAGATTCTCGGTACACGCACGATTACGTGCTGTCGCTGCGTCCCTCCAACCTGTTCTCTGGGGCTCGAATGGTGGGAAGGTAAATGCCCCTGAAACTTTTAGCTGTGGGAGGAGGGCGCCTGCAGAAACCCTCTCGCCCACGGAGGCCGCGTGACAGCCGTCAAGTGACTTTCCGGCCCCGCAACCTCTAGAGAGTTAAATGGAGGATGGGAAGTGGGGGCCCCAGGTTTAGTAGTGCGAATCGATCACAAACAGGCTTCAGAGGAAGTAACCCGAGATTTTGAGCACCTTGCCACCACCTGCTCATGACATTCGCACGCCCCTTTTTCAATCCCTCAATGTAATCAGGATTTCTCTGTGCACCAGTCTCTGGGCTTTGCATCCTATAATCAAAAGTTGAAAATGACAGCAACACTATGTGCAAAACATGCCCCCCAAAAGTTGATTAAACAGTAACAATATTTTTCATCAACTAGATAAAAATTTTAGGCATATGAAATAGAAAGTTTCTGATGTCAAAGCAAAAGCAGAACAAAAAAAGTAATTATAAAATTATTTGTTAACTAGATTATTAAATTTAAAATATATCCAGTTCCACGTGTTTGATGACATACGTCGTAGCTCAGTAAAAATAAAGTATAAAAATTTTACTAGTGGGTTTTTATTACATTCAGCTTCACTCCTTATAAAAGTATATAAAACGTGTTTTGTGCTTTTCTGTTTTTTTGAGACAGGGTCTCACTAGTTCAGGCTGGCCTTGAACTCACTGTGTCATCCAGGCTAGCCTGAAACCTGTGGCTATCCTCCTACTTCAGCCTCCCTAGTGTTGGGATTACAGGTGTGTACCACCATGTCCAGAAAAAAAAAAATTGTATTAATGGAAAAAACCTTCCAGAGTTTTATGCCACATTTTTATTAGCCTTGTTGTGGATTTTGCTTACCCACACTTTGGTGGGATCAACATACATGTAAAGAGAATGTGAATCGCTGTATATATGATACTTGGAATCAGCACATTATAATCAGGATTTATTGTACTGTTTTCTGTATGAACTTTTCCTCCTAAATCTTTCTCTTAATACTGCAGAAGAATTTTTATCAGAGGAGCTGATCTCGTATTACAAAATCAGAAGATTTTTCTGCTCCCTCTTCACACCTTCCCTATGCGTTGCTTTGTGTCCTGCATGAAATCTCCTGTGGATTCCTTCACTCTTTGAATATTTTCCAGTTATACAGTAGTCTTCCCCCCACACACACACCGGGAATTGAACTCAGGAACAAATAGACTTACTGCAGTGGTGAAAATGTTAAGTCCAGGATAACAATGAAAACTTCAGGCTTCCTAGAGACAGGCGTGGTGGTGCACGCCTGTAATCCCAGCACTCAGGAGGCTGAGGCAGGACGATTGCTGTGAGTTCGAGACCAGCCTGGGCTATATAGTGAGTTCCAGGTCAGTCTCAACTAAACAGTGAGACCCTGTCTCAAAAAAAACAAAACAAAAAAACCTTCAAGCTTCCTTTAAGCTACAAGTTCTTCCCTCCTGCTTGCTTCAGATTTGGAGCTTGTTGTGATGGGAGGAAAGGAGGTGTGCTGGGCTTCTCCACATTGCTGCCCTTACTCCTCAGAGTCCAGTCTTCCTCTCTGGATTATCTGGCTGCTGTTCCTACCCAGTCCCTAATGTGCAGGAAGACGGCGGGTAGAAGGAAAGAGCGCAGACTTTCCTGGCCAGTTCAGGGTGCTGTTTTCTTCCAAAATTGGTTCCCTTTGTACATGGATGACTCACAGATGTTGGTTCTTCTTTGTTGTATCACCCTGTGCACTTTAGGACTCTTCCCAGGCCCTTAGCCTTCTGGAGGCTCTCTCCATGTAAAGCTCACTCCTTCATTCTCTTTCCTCTCTAGACATCCTTTGTGAGAAGGAGCCAATTTAAATCGCTCCCAGCTGGTTACCTTCTAGGCACACTTGGCTCACAGGATTGCACCTGCATCTTTGCTCTGGTGGTGAGGGCAGTGCATCTGGCTCCCATGCCGTCCCAACACAGTTACTCAGCCAACATCTTGCTTTTGAACTTTCCCTAAGTAAGAGTTAAGACATCATCCCTTATGGACCTCCAAACCCCAGGAAACACAAGTCAAATGTTCTGAGAGTTTCTAGGGAAGGGTTTTGTCTGTCTCACTTGCCTTTAGGCAAAAAGAAAAACCTATCATGTCCCCCTCCCCCACATACACCATGATAGAAACAATAGAGGCTAAAAATGGTGACTTAGTTTAAGGCTATCACACACACCTTGTAGACATATAGCAATGGCAAACTAAACCTAAAGACAAGGAAGGACCATAGCTTTATGTTGTAGACTGAATTATTTGTCATCACCCAGCCCTGCAGAATTCGTATGTTGAAACCAGCCCAGCATGATGGTTTGGAGGTAGATCTTTTGAGAGATATTTAGGGTCAATGAGGGGGGATTAGGAAGAGATACAGAGTACTCTTTCTTGGCCTTGGGAGGGTACATAGAGAAGGTAGCCATGTTCAGGCCTGGAAGAGAGCACTTACCAGGAACCGAATTGGCTGGCACCTTGACCTTGGCCTTCTTGGCCTCTAGAACTATGAGAAATACATGTCTGCTATTTAAGCCACCCAGTCTATGGCATTTTGTTATAGCAGCCTGAGCAAACTAACACACTCCATTGAATATGCTGAAATTGCCTATCTTCTGGGCTTTGAAGTGAATCTAGAAGCAAGGGGAGGAGCCAGAGGTTTGGCTGTTGTGAAGTAATGGAGCTGTAAGTGTCTTCCAGGAAGAGGAGGACTTGGGCCATTTTTCAGCTTGCAATCCAGGGCACCCCAGCCCTTACATGCAAGATGAGCAAAAATAGTTGCCGACCTGCTTGGGACTACAGCATTCTGAGAAGCTATGTGCCAAGTGCATGGACAGATAAAAATGTTGACAGTCCTTAGATGAGAACTGAGGCTAAACATTCCCTGCTTTATGACGCAAATAGCTGTGCCCTAATAGTATCAGTGCTTCTATATACCAGGAGCAATCATTTAGAATATACAGTTTTCATATAGTGGATTTAATCCATCACTCCCATTAAAAATAGTTTTGTCAGGGGCCAGGGATTTAGCTCAGTGGTTCTTCCATTTGCCTCACAAAAGCAAGGACCTGAGTTTGATCCCTGGTACCAAAAAAATAGTTTTGTGGGCCTGGGATTTAGCTCAGTGCCGCCCCCTGCCTTGCAAATGCAAGATCCCCGTTTGATCCTTGGTACAGAAAAAAAATTTTTTTTTGTCTTTTTATAAACTCACTGCATAACCTGCAGGTGTGAGGGAAATAATGTCCTATGGGATGGAATTTTGATCAGTAAGAAACAAGAACAAATGAGCTATCTTCTTCCCTTATCCTATATCACTTTTTGTTTGTTTGTTTGTTGTTTTTGTAATGGAGTCTTCTTCTGTTCATAGCCTGGTCTTGAACTTGCAATTTTCGTACTTCAGACTCCTGAGTGTCTGGGACTACAGGCATGCATCACCATGGCCTGGCTTCTTTAACCTAGAAGGGTCTTGAGATGCAATTTTATTTATTAAGGTCGGTGCCCTCCCTTGGAGCTGCAGTTTAATCAAGTGGTGTCCAGGTCCTTGATAAACCTTCACATCAGGTCTTTCTTTCCCTGCTAGATGCACCTCAGTCCTGCTCCTTGGACTTTCTAATACTAAAATCAAACTCTGGTTTCTGAGGAACTCAAGCTTGATATATTTGACTACATTAAAATGAATAAGTTTAGGCCGGGGATTTAGCTCAGTGTTTGGTGGCCTGCCTTGCAAGCACAAAGAGACCTGAGTTCAATTCCCGGTACCCCCCCCAAAAAAAAAAAAGAATAAGTTCCGTTTATCAAAGAGTGGGAAAAGATAGATATATGCAGCACACAAAAAGTGCTTATGTCATAATTCTGAACAATAGCTATAGAGCAAAAATGACAGATAATGTCAATAAAAATAAGGACAAAATATCTGTTTGTACTCAAAAAACAAAATTCAAATGTTTAGTAAACATACACTTTGTGGGTAATCATGAAAATGCAAATTAAAACCACAATGAAGCTGGGTGTGGTGGCACACACCTGTAATTCCAGCATTTGGGAGGCTGAGGCAGGAGGATTACCATGAGTTCGAGGCCAGCCTGGGCTTCATAGTGAGTTCAAGGCCAGTCTGAACTACATAATGAGACCCTGTCTCAAAAAAAAAAAAAAACCACAATAATTTTATAATTGTCTCTTTTTTGGTACCAGGGATCAAACTCAGGTCCTTGCGCTTAGCAAGTCAGGTGGCAGACTGCTGAGCTAAATCCCCAGCCCCATAATTTTTTTTTATTCAGCTTTAATTGAGTTTATTGGTACATTTTAGGGATACAGTACAGTTACATTCATTGTTGGGAATTTGTACCTCTACATGACATGTCTTAGTTCTCATTTTTTCCTCTTGTCCCTGTCCTCCCTTCACCCCTCCTCCCCTCCCTATCTACAAACACTTTATTTCCATCTTTTCATTATCTCACATTTTTTTCTTTTCCCTTATTACCCTTCCCCTACCCATCCCACCTTCCCTATACCTTTAGATCCTTTCTTCCCATTTCTAAATGTCAGTTATCTTATTAGGATCTTCTGTATTATTGCAGATTATTCACACCAGAGAGACTATTCAGTATTTACACATGTGTGCCTTATTTATTTCATTTAGGAGTATATCTTCAATATGTATCCATTTTCCTATGAATGAATCTATTTTCTTGTTCTTTATGGCTGAGTAATATTCCATTTTATAGAAAAACCACATCTTCTTTATGCAGTTTCCAATGGATGGGCAAATGGGCCAGCCCCATAATTTTAATGAAGGAAAATAGACACAAAACATCTGCATGACTCCACTTATACTGAAGCAGGACTTAAAAAAAAACCAAGTTCTTCCTAACCTTGGGCAGTTCTCTCCCACCTTCAGATCACTCTACCTGCCCCGTAACTGTAACTCTTTGTTAAGATACAGATAAAATTGACAATTACATCCTCTAAACAAAGTTTATGACACTCGGTCCTCACATGATTCATAAGGCTCTGTCTTCTGTCAAGGCTAAATTACAAAACTGTCTGCCCTTGTCCTGTTTCATACAAACTTGCTTGCTGTGACCCTAGAAAGACCACTCCCCTTCAACCAAATGTATAAATGTATTCTTTGTTCAGTGTTCCTTCTTTGGACACTAGTCCATTGAGCGAGTGTTCACCTAAAACCTAGAATAAAATCCTCGTGTTTTGCAATGGACTCTTTTGTCTCTTGAATTCTGCAACATTTCTGGCGACTGACTACAAAGGGACTGGAGATGACAGGAGTTTCTATCTCCTTCTCCTGCAGGCCTGAGAGGGGCCAGACCTGCAGAAGCCCTGAGGCCTCTGGTGCCACCAGGTAAGACTGCAGCTCAAAGAGGGAATCAGCCTTTCTGTAGCCTGGAGACCTCTCCTCTGTCAGCACAAAAGGAACCTGTGGGGATTCAGGATGATCCTGGAACAACAGCATGCTACAGGACCACAGTAAGATTTTGGGGCCTCACAGGGGGGCCCATCCCATTAGGACAGAAGGGGAGACTCCTCCAGGGTGTACTGAGTAACATGATTCAGTGGGAGTCAGATGAATCCCACAACCCCAAGTACAATGTGGGTGTGGCGAGCAGTGAGTTTCTCACAAAGGGGGTGTGTCAAGCAATCAGACTCAGGGAGTCAAATAAAGCACACACCTAGGTTGAAAAAAAACGGAAATAGAGAAACATATGAGTGAATGTGAATACATGGAATTAAAAATTTAGGAAAATATCACAGTGCACAAAATGAGACAGTGAGAGGGGTGCTCCCTGCTCTGGGAGCTCCAAGGCTAGTGATTTCTTGCTTGGTGTCACTAGCCTGGCTCTGCTTGGAGGAGTCTAAAAGCCAGAACAACTCCATCCTGGCACTGAATGGCTAAAGTTGAGGAACTACAACTGAGTCCTCCTTGGCTTAAGGAGGTTTTAGAGGAGAAATAAAATTACAAATTTTAGCTAATTGATAAGTGTACTTTTGGTTTTCAATTTGAGTTGATGTTTTTGTTTAACTGGTGTACTTAAAACTTTTCTTGTTTTGCAAATTCTTGAATTCTAATTACAGGGTTAATTTGCTCTTTGCTCTGTTGGTTTGAGATAAGAACACAGATTCAAGGTTAATTAGAGGTCTGTTGGCAGCCAGTCAAATTTAAAATGTAACAATCTGAGAACAAACAAACAAAAAAAGGAATAAAGGATATTTTAAAATCCAAGCAGCTGCAAACCAAGTTTGTTATAGATTTGCAGTAAGTGAGATAGAAAAAAATTAAGAAGGCTATAAGAGATAGACTTTTGATATATGAGGATTTTGTATGATAAAAGTTTCGCCCTGTTAAAAAAGATAAAAAGAGAGACAATGTCAAGACTGAAAAGTTTACATATGGCAAGGAAAAGCTTATGGAAGCGGTTTATCAAGAAAATATGTATGTTTGCTTGTTGGTTTGCCAGAGCTCAGGTTGTCCCTTCTAAAAACTACCACAAAAGGAACAATCTATTCAGCCTGAAGCAAAAGTGCTGGAGAGAGTGATTTGCATTGTAGCAGAGCAGATATGAAAAGAAAAGTGTTAAAACCCATCCTATTAGAATATATGTTTAAAACTTTAAAAGAGGCTATACAGGGAATTATAGAATAAAGTTGGCCCCCTGGAGGTTGAAAACTCTTTATAAAATAGATTGGCCCTCCTTTGATGTTGGGTGGCTGGCCAAGGGGATGATTGACAGGGAGACAATTGTTCATGCACATAGGGTGTTAACTAGAGATGGAGAATAACCAGGTCACCCAGATCAATTTCCCTACATTGATTCATGGTTAGATATATGCTCGTAGCTCACGCCGAACCTAAGGCAAAAGAGAAAGAAAAATCAGCTCTACTGGGAGGCTTAGCAACAACAACAAAAAGACAGCAACACAAGAGGTCAACCAGAAGCTCAAGAATATGGACATGGGCAAAAATAGGAGCCAAACTGAGCCAGGACCTGCCAGTCAACCAAAGCTGGATTAGGATCAATGTGCATGATATAAAAAGTATGGATATTGGAAAAGTGAATGTCCAGAAAATGATGACAGAGATGATAAAAGTTCCAAAACTAGAAAGCTGCCTGCGAAAAGTTATTATCCCCAGAAGAAAACAGATGGTAACCTCATTGGACTGGCAAGAACTGAAGGTTACAAGGAATAGGCCATCCCAGGCTCCATCCCCGTAGGGCCCCAGGAGCTCACAGTCACGATGAGGATAAGAGGCCAATTGAAGAACTTTATGGTAGACAACAGAGCTGAGCACTCAATGATGACACAACTTATTGGGTCATTATTTTAAAAATGTGATAATTGTAAGAACCATGGGGTTCCAGAAAAAAAAGACCGTTTTGTCAGCCTAAAAGATACGTTTTTGTTGTTGCTGCTGTTGTTTTGTTTTTGTTTTTTGACAGGGTCTCACTGTGTAGTTCAGACTGCCCTGCTCACTGTGTAGCCCAGGCTGATCTCGAGCTTGCAGTGATCCTCCTGACTCAGCCTCCCAAGTGCTGGGATTAGAGGTGTGCACCACCATGCTATAAAAGATATGCTATAGGGGAACAAAAAGTCCAACCTGAGTTCCTGTATCTGAAAAACTACCTAGTTTCCTTGTTAGAGAGAAACTTACTCTAAAAGCTACAGGCTCAAACTATCTTTGAGCTGCAGGGAGATATGACTTTAGTCTTGGCTCCACCAAACGCTATGACATTAGCCCTTGATATCCCACAGGCTAAGAAATTGAAACAAGCCACCACCACCACCAAAAACAAATAAACTATATGGGCTAATACACAAGATTCTCAGGATATGGGCTAAAAATAATCCATCTGGGCTGGCTATAAACCAAACACCAGTGACTGTAAAACTAAAACCAGGGACAATTCTGGTTCATGTCCACCAAGATTCTCTCCCCTGGTAAGCCATACAAGACATTCAAAGACATTTAAAGGCACTTTAAAAACAAAATCTTGACAAATTGGTGGAACTCACTCCAGCAAATGCTGCCCGATTTACTTGCTTAGATTTAAAAGATGCCTTTTTCACCAATCATTCAGCCACCCCACCCCTTGTCCTAGGGATTAAACTCAGGGCCTTGTGCTTGCAAGGTAGGCACAGTTCCTCTGAGCTAAATCCCTGGCCCCATCTTTGCATTTCAACAGGAGTTTCACAGGCACAAAAAAACAGCTAAGCTGCACTAGGCTTTCCCAAGGGTTCAAAAACTCTCCTACAGTCGTTAGAGAGGCACTGGCTAACAACTTCAAACCTTTCATCATACTAGGGGACAATTGTACCCTGCTGCAATATGTAGACGATCTTCTTTTGACATCCCCAACCCAAGAGAACTACTATCAAGAAATTAAAGACCTCCTTCATTTGTTTTAGAGGACTAAATATAAAGTATCCCCAAAAGGACACAAATTTATTGACAAGAAGTCAAATATCTAGGCTTCATAGCAACACGGGGCAACACTAATTAGGCATACAGCTAAAACAGGCTGTCTGTGCCTTCCCAACCCCAACCACCATCTGGCACCGAAATAAGAGAGTTTCTGGGGCCAGTAGGATTTTGCCATACCTGGACCCCAAGTTTCTCACTTATGGCTAAACCCTTTTATAAACCCACAAAGGGGGAAAAGAGCCCCTCCTCTAGAAAACTGACCAGAAGAGAGAATTTAAACAGATCAGAAAAGTCCCCAGCATTAATACTGATGGATCTAGCCAATCTTTTATTCCTTTATGTCTGTAAAAGGAAGGGAATGACCATAAGTCTTAACTCAAGTCTTGGGATCCTGACATTGCCCAGTGGCATACTGGTCAAAGTGTGGACTTAGATTCTGTGACACTAGGATAGTCTCTATACTTCAGAGCACTTTCTGTCACTGCCCTGCTTCCACAGGAAGCTGACAAACTAACTTTGGGACAACAACTGACCATTCAAGTACCACACTCAAGCCATAATCTAGATAGACCAGAGAAGACATGGCACCATTGGTTATTAAACCCAAGAATGACCCAATATCAAGAACTCCTATGTAAAAATCCCTGCATAACTCTAGAGACAGTAAACATACTTATTCCAGCTACCTTGTTTATAATCAAACCAGGAGCCCCCTTCATGATTGTGTGGAAATCATTGATGAAATATTCTCCAGCCAGGGGAATCTCACAATTTAACCTCTTAGAGACCCAGACATTAAATATTTCACAAATGAAAATAGTTTTGTGTTGGAAGAAGTCCAACAGGCAGGATATGTAATGGTGACATTGAATCCTGTTGTAGAAGCCCAGCCTTTGCCTGCCAGAACCTCACCCCAGAAGAAAGAGCTAGTAGTCTTGATAGGGGCTCTTTTGGTAGCAAAGGACAAAAAAGCTGACATCTATAGTGATTACAAGTATGCCTTTGCAACATTACACGTACATGGAGTCATATATAAGAAAAGAGGACTCTTGATTGTTAGAGGGAGAAAAAATACAAAGAAGAAATTTTATAGCTGCTAAATGCAGTTTGGGCCCAGAAAAACAAATGGCTGCTATACACTGTAGGGGGCACCAACAGACTAAAACATTAAAAGCCAGAAAGAACCAAAGTACAGACAGAGAAGCAAAACAGTCTTCTATGACAAACCCCCAACCCAAGAGAGGGACCCTAGCCATGCCCTTCATCCCAGAGCTTCCTTTCCCAGAAATACCAAAGTATTCTCCAAATGAGAAAGCCTGGTTTATCTGAAAAGTTGGAAAGTATGTAAAGGGGTGGGGGGTGATGGAAGTTCGCTGATGGGAGGCTAGCCATCCCTGAACCTGGGCCCCAGGTTCATAAAACAATTACATCAGCAGTTTCACATGGAAAAGACAGCATTAGAAACTTTCCTACATCAACATTTCTATGTGCCACAGCTCACTGTCATTGCTTGGGCTGTTTGCGAGCAATATTTAACCTGTTTCTAAACAACCAAGGCAAGGGCCCACCTGGCCCCCAAGTACAGGAAACAGGAGCTGTCCCATGTAAAAACTTGCTTATAGACTTTACTAAATTCCTTCAAGCCAATGACTATTGATGTATGTTGGTACTTGTCTGTATGTTCTCAGGATAGGTTAAGACCTTCCCTACTCAAACAGAAAAGGCACAAGAGATAACCAAAGTGCTATTGAGAGACATCATCCCAAGATTTGGACTACTCCTGATGTTAGGATCAGACAATAGACTAGCATTCATCACCAAGATAGTCCAGCTTATACAGATGTTGAAGACAGAATGGAAGCTTCACATGGTTTACTGGCCACTGAACTGAGGAAAGATAGAACACATGAACTGGACAATCAAACAACTGCTGAAAAAATATTGTCAAGAAACTTACTTGAGATAGGATCAAGTCTTGCTCATGGTCCTCCTCTGAATCAAATGCATCCCCACCAAACTGGGTGTTCTCCTTTCAGATTTTGTTCAG